TTTGGCATTGCAGATCTTGTACCCGCCTGCAAGAACAACCAACCTATTAGGCACTGGCCCACCAGCATACTCCACAAAAATGGATTTGTGGGTGCCCATTAACCATGAAACAAACATCAGATTTGTGATCTGACGGGAGCTAACTCTTACCTGACTTTTGCCCAATATTCAAAATTTTCATGCCAATTTGACTACTTGAATCTCAGTATCTTGAGCAGAATATTTTCTGCATCCTTCCAGCATGCAAGGGCACATACCCATTTGATGTAAAAGCATTCAAACAAAGAACTTTGTCACCACAGTTATAATTTAATTTAAATCAATTGCAAAGCTTCACAGAGAAAACCACTCTCTTCTAATAAATACAGTAGACTAACACTAAAATGGTTTTTGTTGTGTAAGACATACTGCCACAGGTATTAGACGATAGCACTGCCATTTCACAAAACAATTCTCCTTTATGTTACTTCATTGCAACTTGATAAAAAAGTACTTCACCATCCCAGTTTAAAATGTATTCCTCTGATAATTACGTTTCTTTGTCAAGCAATGTGACCACTCACCCATGCTAAGAGTAACTGAAGCTGTGATCAACCTCTATGCTGTTGAAATACAGTATCACGTGCAGCCTCTAAGGCATTTCACCCAATATTACTAGCTAATCCTTACTCAAATCAGTACTTAGTTATGACTATTTTACCAGCATTTCTGTAAAGGATACAGTTATAATGAAAAAAAGAAAAGCCCATATGTAAAAATTACAAACACATTTGATATAACAGGGTGGAAGGTTTAATATAGATTCCACTCCTGTTAACACCAGAGTTAACTTTATATCAGAGCTATCAAAGCTATCAATATGTGAAGATGTTCATGAAACACATTTTTTTAATTGTTTAGTACAATGAATTGGAATGAATGAATTGACATTGAATTGGTCAGTTTCTTTTTTATAATCACGGATTTCGCAAAATCACATTTTTTGTTTGCAAGAGTGTGAAATACTTATGTCAATGTATGCTTAACATGTTACATAAAAAAAAGATCCATGCAAAAAGAAAGGAAATAAAATTCTCAGTTATTTCACACCATGCAGTCCACTTTTTCTAATTTATATGCTTGCCTTCAAAATACTTAGCTTATGTTCTAAGTTAAAAGAGCAAACCTAGATGTATTAAGGCCTTACTTTACATCTAGTTCTGTGTAACTCAGAAGTGAGGTCAGGCATCAGTAACTTGCCTTCTGTTAATGAACTCTTCCCACTTTCTTCCATGGACATCTTATTTTCATTCTTGAAAAACAAAAAACACTTTCAGTTCCAGGAGAATATACTAAGCACTCAGAGGGTATTGGTCAGGTGTCTAAAGCAATATAGTTATTTTTAAAAACTCTAGTCACAGTTATTCAAGGATTTTTTTTTATCAAAGTAGCAAATAACGCTGAACAACAGAGTGAATACTTCAGGGTCACAGAAAAAAGAGCTGCATGATGTATTTGCTAAAAAAGGAAATATTTGAGAGAGTTAGGGGGGAAGAACCTCCAGAGAGAATAGGAGTCAACAACAGATGGTAGATAAAGGAGGAAATAATCCATAAAACCTATCTGCATAAACAAAACAAGAAATACTTTTTCCTGCAGAAGTCCAAAGCATTCTTCCTACTAGACAAAACATTGGTCTTTTAGCTGTGGTGAAAAATTAACAAAACTAAACCAAACAAAACAAGCCTGACACCAAGGCACTAAGTACAACCTGAATTCAGAGCCCATCCTGCAAGCAGTACATGTTTAAAAGAAAAAGCCTGCTTTGTGCTGAACAACAATATCTTGGAAACACATCCTCAAAGTTAGAGTCAAACAATAAAATTTTATTAGTAAGCCTTTACTCATCTCTTTGCAAAAGTGACTGGTAACTGGAAGAGTTGTGGACAGTGTCAAGTGGCTAGCAGTGACGTGAGCAGAAACAAAGATGATGACACCAGGACCTGATCAACCAACCCTTTGCTGTGCTGCAGATTTGAGTAATAAGAAAGAAATGTTCCCTAAACTTTCATCACAGATACTACTACTAACCAACCACTCTATGCCATTTCAAATAAGGAAATCAAAATAAATTATCGAATATCTACTATTTGATAATTTAGGAAATAGAAGTTTCAGGACAATAGTGAGTGAAGTTTGAAAGTCCTACTCCTATTTTTCATTGACAGTTTAGCAAAGTATAAAGCAGTATATCTTTAATTAAAGAAATGTTCTTTGGTTTTCAAAGACAGACAATATAATTTCAGGAGGCTGAAAACCTAACTCAGAATGATCATTCCTTTATGTTTTAAGTAACGGATTAAAAGAGCATCCACACAATGATAGGAGTACTTCCTTTTTAAGGAAAGTCCATGGCCTGAGGCAAAGAGGGGTGAGAAATTACAGATCAGGAGAGGGAGTACAGGAGAGGGGGTGCATTGCAACTGCCTGGCTGCAACCACAGAGATACCCGGGGAGCTCTGCAGTTGCCCCTGGGGAAGGCAGTGGCACACAGCAAATATTATCCTCATCAAGGTGGAAGACCAGGACATCTGGGGTAAAGTTGTCACAAAAATGAGATAAAGCTGGTAAGTAAAAATTACATAGGATAACCATGGAGCAGCAGAGCATCCCTAGCTTTCCCAGGACCAATGCAGGGATACATTGAACTGAAAGTGGATGATAAACATAGCTCAAAGGAGAAATGCGTCTCTCCTCTGTTCAGCTTTCAGTTAAAGCTTGAAGGCAGGTATGGCCTGCTCTGCTCTGCGCTGTGGTGGCCTAACCTTGAACATTGTATGCAGTTTTGGACACCACAATACAAAAAAGACGTTAAGCTATTAGAAAGCATTCAAAGGAGAGCTACAAAGACGGTGAAGGGTCTACAGAGGAAGCCTTATGAGCGGTGGCTGAGGTCATTTGGTCTGTTTGGCCTGGAGGAGACTGAGGGGAGACCTGATTGCAGTCTACAAATTCCCTGTGAGGGGAAGAGGAGGGGCAAGCACTGATCTCTTCTCTCTGGTGACCAGTGACAGGACTCAAGGGAAGGGCCTGAAACTATGTCAGAGGAGGTTTAGGTTGGATATTAGGAAAAGGTTCTTCACCCAGAGGGTGGTTGGGCACTGGAACAGGCTCCCCAGGGAAGTGATCATGGCACCAAGCCTGACAGAATTCAAGGACCATTTGGATAACACTCTCAGGCATATGTGTGATTCTTGGGATGTCCTGCATAGGGTCAGGTTTTGGACCTGATGATCCTTGTGGGTCCCTTCCAACTCAGCGTATTCTATGATTCTATGGCTGATAACTGGGCTGGTAAGGATGAAAACGTCAGTGGCTTGCCAGTCATACTGGATGACAGAAAGTCACGCTCACAGTATCCTCTAACACATCCTGAAATGAATTACAGAAAATCTCAAATATCTTTTTGAAATAAGAAAAACCAAAGAACAGGTGATATGGTCACTAACATCAGACAATTGTCCACCTTTTCAAGCCACATCATACAGGGAAATTGGTAATAGCAAGTTATACAGAGTCTCTGTAAAACAGTGCCGGATCTCCTGGCTTGCACACCTGTATGAGAACTAAATCTGTTCTCTCGCAGCTCCACACCAAAACAATGCAGCCTGGACCAAGACAAAGTCATGCAAGAATGAGCTGAAAAAGAACAACCTGGAAAAGAAACAAATTAAACCCATATGTTACATATGAAACAAGTGGTTTCATAAGCAGCTAAAAGAGTACAACTTGGTTTTCTTAAGACACAGATTTGCGTCCTGCACTGATTCTTTATTATCTAGTACGAGGTAAACTTGTTTTTCAGAACAATGCTCAGAGATGTTGAAGTTGGACAAGAGTCAAAAGTTATTGCTAGTAGGGCACACAGGCACACATGCAGAAAGTACCATCACACAAGCTTTGTTTTTTTCATAAAACACATTCAAAAACAATTCCTCATAGGATTTTTTTTTTTTTAAGCAAAACCTCACTTTTGGCATGACAATAATAAAGAAGGAAATATCACATATTTTAATGGGAGTTCACAGCACATCCCTGGGACAAAAATCTAAAATCCTATTTCAGGGAGTAGGAAATTTGAAGGAAAAAAAACCACCTTGCTTTGATTTTCAAAGTCATTAAGGCATTTCTAAGGCTGAATTAATTTCTAATTCAGAATTAAATACTGGTAGTAGAGGGAGCACTGAAATTCATAACTGGTTTGGTACCCCAGAGCCCAACTCTCTTAAATTAACTCTTTTGAAACTCATACTATCCTTCCAGTACTATGTTAAAAAGGATTGTATAGAAAAAAAAAATGTTTAAGCAATACATGGTTCTTTTGTGACCTCAGCTGATCAACTGATAGCTATGAGCTCCTGTACAGAACCTGAGAGCTTGACTTTCATACCTCCTGTAATTAAATCTTTGGTCATATTTGGATTCAGAGAAGAAAGTAAATTATATCTATTAATCAATATATTTTAGTCCATAAAAATCATGTCTTATTTAGTGTACAATGGTAGGAAAATCAAAAAGTATGGTCAGAAGATAGAAATTCCTAATTTTTTTACTTGGTTACAATATTTAGAAATTTTATAGCAGTTATGTCAAAAATTGTGGGAGTCGTGGCTACAAAACTGTCTTTCCCAACTGATTGGAAAAAGTTGCTAGTTTGAGTTTCTACGTTTCAAGGTGCAATATTTCAACTGTTATTTGAATACTTTTACTTCATCTTTGGTATTACTTTACTGCACAGAACACTAAAACAATCTTTTCAACATAAAATAAAGCAAAATACTGGACTTTCCTGTAGCTGTACCATTAAAACCAACAGGTTCACACAACATATTTCAGTTGCAACAAGAGGTTTCTTTCCTTTTTCAAAGAAAGAACTGTTTTGACATAATAATTTGAGGAACTTTTTCAAGTTTATGCAAGAGCAAAGCAATCCAAGTTTCTTAGCCATTGTACCCAAATGTGACAGTCGAGATGAAAGAAGAGCTAGTATATGGTAGGTGTAACAACTCAACCAAAAAGACATCTACCATTAACATGTTTACAGCTACTATAGCACAGAAGCTGCACACTTAGAGCACAGACTGACACAAGGTTCTGTAGTTGCCTAATCAATCTATTAAAAAGTCTCATTAACCAAATAGTTGACAGTCTTTTCTTATAATAGTTACAAGTATTATCTTAAGAGTGTTAAACACAGATTTATCTTGATTTTAATAATTAATAATTTAAAACATATTTGATATTGTTTCATCTTTAATCCATTTCTTTGTAGGTCATAGGAACCAAAAGGAGTTTGTACTAGAAACATAGATTTATGTTTCATCTTTAAAATCAGTCAGATGCTATGGTCAAAGATAATAGCCATTGACCAAGAGAATGTGCCTACATAAACATAGGCAAGCTCAAGTCCCCACAATAGCAATAAGGAATCTCCAAAATACAGATACAAAGATAAGGAACTATCTAGTAGTTACAATCTCAAGAAGTTGTGGGGGTAGCAGACAACAGAGACTTATATTGAACCTTAGACAGCATCACCATTCTCCTAACAGGAGAGGAGACAATTCCTCATCAACAAGAGTTAAGGGTAACAGCAACAATTTTAGTGGAAGTTTGACAATGTGTTCATAGCTTCATTTTTGCCTGGTCCTTGTGCCAAGTGCCATTATATCAACAATTTCTTTCAGAATGTGTCTCACACATAATGGTCCATAGAACTGAGGATGACATAGTGAAAATGTGAAAATTCAGGTTCCTTAAAAGATGACACAAGAAACATACCCACTCTCGATCAGTGCTCACCTAGCATTATTGTTCTTCTGCACTGAAGAATAGATTCAATTATACGTTAAGAAAAGTTTATGGGCTGATTTTCTAAAGCAAACAGTTTGCAACTTGAAACACAGTTCAGAAATGTATACTCAAGACAAAAAGGCTTAATAAAGGTCAAAGATTCAGATAAATTCTGCACTTTTGGCATAAGCATTAGCTGTATTAAAAAGTATTCAAATGGACTTCAGTCACTTTTATGCTCAAGTAAGATCAATTTATAGTATTAAACACATCTGTTCTAGTATCTTTAGTAACTATGTTTACATAACAAACATGCTCTGTCATAGAATATTATAAAACTAGTATTACTTATTCAAGGATCTGAATTCCCCAGGAAATTATGTGGGGCCAAACACTATTATACAGTTTTTCATAAGTGCTTATGGCAGAACTTCAACTACTTTCCTGTTAATGAAGTGTCCAGAGTGGGTTTTTTCCATGTTTATCTTAAAAACATTAATTTTCAGAAACTAGAAACATGTGACAATAATGACTTCTGCATACTGCCAGAAGCTAAATGCAGCCTTTATAATGAGAAATATTAATATTAACTTATGGCTCAGTAAATCAGTTAGATTCAAAAAACAGGAACATTTTCACAATCAGAGTTGCAAATGCTAAAGCCTCTATCAAATAGCCTTTCACAGATCAAAGACCCAGAGAACACCTATTCTATAAAACAGTTACCACAATATTTTTTTCTAGTTCAAAGTCTTATCAAATAGCAAGCATTCACTTACTTACAAACACGTCAATACCATGACTTCTTCACCTTAACCAAACAGTTTCCCCACTGCAGGATATTTGGTCCTAAGGATTTTCATACTTCTTTGAAACACCATCAAGGTAAGGCTATTTTTAAAGAATATCATAAATAATAATTAAGCCTTAATCCCCACGTGAATAGCACTAAATAAAATTTTATTAGACCTCCTAAATTCACAGAGTAGTCACTGGACTAATTTGGGGAGCCTAGATTGACAAGGAGGTTCAAATTTTCACTGTATGCAATACTCATTCTATACTTCATTTTAGAATCACAACACCCACTATATCAGATCCACACATAATTCTACATACATGCAAAGAGTATCATGAGGATATCTTCACATTACAGTTTTTAGCAGAAGGTAAGTATTAATGTTCACTCTGTTCAGGCCCACTGACCATGTTCATCTCAGACTCCCTAGCAATACAAAAAGTTCTCCCCAAAACAGCTTTTCATTTGGAAAATTATGTTTGCTTTCGTGTCTCTAACTCAAACTACACACACAGACACAGATTTCATAGCACATTTCAATTACGGGATATAGTGCATCTCAGAGAGCATGGGTACTACGGAGTGTCTCCTATGCAGTTCTCAAACTCACTCCCAAGTGTTGCTGAGTTACCAACAGATGATGCAAAAGCAAGTGTGTTATGTGTGGACAAGGAAGGCAAGGGAAAGGATTCATTACAGTTTGCCAGTCTTTTTTTTCTGCAGAAGTTTTGGGTTTGTCTTTTTCTTTTTAAGTTTATTTGAGCATAGGTGTCAAGTCTTTAAATACCTCTGAAAGACAATGGACAAAAACTGAAAGCTGCTGAACTTCCTAGTATGGTGAACTGTGGTTGAATGCAGCACCTACAGAGAACCCTCCCCAGCTGGCGAGCACTCTGTGGTGCTGGGGGCTGCAGAAGGCAGCCCAATGCCATGCATGGGCCAGTGACTGTGCCATATATAACCAAATCATTAACGTGGCTGTCATCGTCACCTGTCAGCAACTTTCCCTGGCATGTCAGAGGTCTCCTCTCCCTACAATACATTAGCATAATTGCTTGAGTAATTATTTGCTTATTTGGTTCAGTTAGAATGGTCTGAGCTAGTGTCAACATCAGTAACACACCTTTTAAATTATTTCTGCAAATTTTTTTAAGCCTACGGATGGAATGGGAGTAGTGAGCAACCACACGGGTTATGTGATGGGTGCTAACTTGCAGCAGGGACACTGTGAGGGAATTCTGGAGTAGGGAGGCAGGCAGAGTAAGAAGAGTGAGCTGTGGCAGTGGGACAAGCTCCCCCTGCTCAGCTGCTGAAAAAGGTCAGCAGTCAGAGACAGAGAAGAAGCATGTACCAGCAGCAACCCAGTACTAACAGGACAGATCAAGGTCTTCACAGTAGGGCCAGGCATAGGACTGGGATCCTCAGCAGGGCTGCCAGCAGAGCAGCATCATGTCCTACAACTGCAAGACACCCCGCCTGTTAAAACGCCGGACCAGTTTGCGGCCGTTACCATCAAAGAGCCACAATTGTGTTAGTTCCATGTTCATGAGGAGCTAGCAGTTGACATCCATCACTGAGCATAAAACCACACAATTAGTGCCTCCATTGAGAGAGACCTGGGCAACAAAAGTGACAAACACTTTCCTGATCGCCAGCTATCATATTTAATATAGCACTTTATAAGTATGATCTAATACATTGTGAGATTTGGGACATAGTGTTACTATGGTTATAACTTCCTTTGCTTTCTTCCCCTTGCAAGCAACACATTAAAAGTAGAGTAAGAGATATTACTGTTCACAGATACTAACTGGTCCAACTCTGGAGTTTCTTAACACAATTCACTTTTTCCATAGTCAATGAAGGTTTATTAAAGGTTAGAAGAAAACAAATGGTGACAGTTGCACAGGCTGGGGGTTAAACTTATTTCTGCTAATTGATATGGAAAACTTTTGAGGCCCAATTCCCACCTTAGGCTGCTTACTAGGTAACTTGCCAATTTTTAACGCTATTACAATTAGATTTACACTACCTTGCCAGACAAAATACACAAGGAATTAACTGGAATGATTACAAATGGATAATTTTTCCTCTTTTTTTTTTTTTTTTTACAAAAGCAAGTTACCCAGTTGCCAGAACCATATTTAAAATGGAACATTTACCAAGAGCTTTATGTGGCCCTCATAATTTCTGTGCACCTATCTGAAATGCACCAAAACAAGAAGAAGTCTATTTAGAAATATGGTTGAGGTATACTATAATCCATAAATAATATATGAAACTGCCTCGGGAGGATTTTAAAAGAGGTTTCATTGACATGGGTAAGAAATTTTGCATTAGTGAACAGAAACAGTGGAAAACAATGCAACTTTCTTTGGATAACAGATCATTCTATTGTTCAGTATTGTAAAGAAAACCAAAGAGACTGAAATTATTGGCTCAGTTTAGAAATTATGACATTGAACAAATCAAAGTCAAAAAAATAAAAGCCCCCAAAACAATACTAGGAGATGAGAGGTCTGGTCAGGTTTTAGACAGACTATCCAAGCAGCTGGAAAAGATGTTGATTCTCTAAGGGAAATTTGTAATGTATTTGACTCATGTTTTTGTGGAGTTGCAGATTATCCTGAGGGGTTTGAAAGAAGGAACACATGCCAAAAAGTTACGAACATTATCTGGAAAATGATAGTATTTTAGTAGTTTTCCAATACAGCCAGCAATAGAATTTAAAGTTTAAAAAATAACGAAAGAAAAAGTAAAACAGAATTGGTGGGGTGGTCAAAATAAGAGATGACTTAATGATGAAGGAGATTCTTCTATTTTGTTTTCACAAAATACAAATAGGTTCATGCTTTTAAAAACTAGGCTTTCTTTAAAAAATGTTTTCAGGATTAATTTTTTTAAAATATTATAAGTTCCTTTTTAATTGTCACAATTTTACGTCCATTGAAATGACAGAACAGAAATAAAACCCATCACTAATACAGCTCTTACTGGCTTGTTTTTTCAACTCACATATGTACTACACACTGTAAGTGACAGACTACCCTTAACATGTGTAATACTGTCTTCTCGAGTAAATCTGTTTTATAATGATTATGACTTTACAAACTATTTATTTTTAGAGATTTGCAATATGCTCCCTCTCACCATTTTCAAGTACTTCATAAAACTAGTAATTATGGAGATATTTTGTGTCTTTGTACAATTACATCTTCTCATGGTAGAAGCCAGCTTCATGTAATTAAAAATGGAGCTGGAATGGCTTACAATATCACAGACAAAGGTTGCTGTCTTCCTGAAATTTGTGAGGTGTTGAACACAGACAACTAGGATGTGTCATCTTACTAACTACTAACTAATAATTTACTGATTAATAAATTAGCAATAAAAGTAAATATTCAGAAACTAGTCCAAGTAACTGCCTCTGGTATCAGTGATAAGGTTTGGGGTTTTTTATTTCTATTTCAGTGATCCAGCATTTGAAATTTGGGAGGGGGATACTAGGTACTTGTGCAAGGATCAATGTAGAATTTGCAAACCTTGTAAAGAAGTTGATTGATCAGAGCCAGTGACAGACAAGCTTCTGTGGGAAAGGATGTGCATGGTGCACCTGACTGATGACAAGGTGGGAAGGGATGTGATGGGTGCTTGGGGGTTGGCATGGGAAACAATGTCCCAGCAGGGTGCCCACATACAGGGCCCTAGGGGTCACACACACCTCCTCCAGCTGCACAGGTATCACAGCCTCACACACTAATGCAGCTGACAAGGAAAAGAAACCACTTCCCAAAAAAACGTGTCCAGGTTGATGGGAGCTACAGAGAGCAAGTGAGACTGTAATGTGGAGAGGGCAAGCAGCACTAAGACCAAGTGCATTCGGAGTCATTAATATACAATTTCATGATTCTCAGAGCAAGAAACTTGACAAATCTCAGCCTTCCAGAGCAGGATGCTCATTCTTTCTGAGTCAGGGAAGTAATGAGTGTTCATCAAATTACTGATCAAGCCGAAGACAGCTTGGAACACAAGAAATTTTGATCCTCTTCTGCTAAGGGAAGCCTTCAGCTACACCTCCTGAGATGGGCTGCTGAGGGATGGTCTCTGTCACCGCACTGGGGGTTCCTGGCACAGCTGGGATCCTCACAGGTGGGTAGCTAAACCTGCTCTTTGTTGGTAGAGCCATACTGGTGGACTAACCAGCCATGTGGCCCAAAGACCAAAGCATCATTGCAAATACATGAGCAATACCAATTCTGAGACAATTTCAGAAAGCCGAGCACATGAAAGGAGGTTGTAAGAGCCCAAATCTGTTCCCAGAAAAATTCAAAACCATTTTTGCCATTAATTTTTTTTGGAAGACACAGTTCTGCAGAAGAATAATCAAGTTCAAACTGTTTGCAAGCTTAACAGTTTTAAGGCTGAATGATGAACATATCCAAACCTTCGGGGAAAAATTCTGCTTGCTCTTTTAGTCCAAAAATGACAATTGGAGTTTAAGCGGCACAGTTGAGCAGATCCAAACATCAGTTTAAAATTCAGTCCAATTCCAGAACACAGCAGCCAACTGAAAAGTATCTAGGGACATCCAGATCAGACCAAAGAATTTATAATACAAAACCAGTCTTTATTTAATAATCATAATAAATGTTAAAAAGCAAATTAATATAAAGGTCAAAAAAGTCATTGCGTTTACAAAATTCTGACCAAATTCTGACCACAAACAAGTTAAATCTGAGAAAGTCTTAAACTGAGTTTTCATTTCATCTTGAAAAATTACTGGTTGAACAGCAGAACTTTAATTTTCAGTAGAAATTGAGCAACAAATATATAATAAGAAGAGTTCTGTTAGAGTGGAAGACCTACATCTACTTGAAAGTCACAGTTTGGTGCTTTTTTTCCCAGCACCAACATAAAGGAATGAAGATTCACAAACAAAATCTTTAAAACCAAAACGTTTTTTCTATGTCTTTAATTTAAACTTTATCTCAATTTTGGGTCTGTTACAGAAGTGGAGGCAGTCTTTTTAAGATGAGCTTAAACCTTCACACACAAATATTTCTCCATTTCAGTAATCAGATGGGTCTGTTTTAAGACAATAAGATGTGACAGGTAGCACATTTGAGGGAGATCAGTGATTCCCTTGGTTGCTCTGCACGATGTAGGTCTAAAGGCAGAGTGACATCAACCAGCCGATAAGTGCAGTAATCCCCTGGGAGTAGCTGTCATGTCTCATTGTCCTTATGAAAGAAAAATGGTAAACAAGGAAGCCAGTCTGCAATTATGAATTTATGGATGTTTGTTAATGAGTGTCTCAGACCTAGTCAGACAGCTCCTCTTGGAGTATTTTTCAAATTTCACAGGCTGTTTCAGAATGGTCCTTCAAAACTGATTAAAAATGCCACCATCATTAGATTACATGAGAAAAAAACCACATTAATACACTTTGAAAGCCTGGGGAACATACACCCCCTGTAAGTTTCAGGCATCAGTTCTTTCCAGCGAACAAATAATCCAGGAATGAAAAAAAGAGGAGAGGGAGAAAGGGATTTAAATCATAATGGTACAAAAAAGAATGACCCAAGAGGACTTTAAGGACCAAATTTAATATATTTCTTGTTTAAGCCACATGGATAAAAATGAGGTATCAGAAATCATACACTGTGATTTATGCTAAAGGAATCCTTCAGAAAAATTGCCAGACAATTACACAAAAAGATAATGAGGATAAGATGACACAATTTAAATGCAGATCATCCAGACAGACACCCTCCTGGCCATTTATTAAGTCCAGACAGATGGTTCTTGCAGCAGTTCTCTTACCCTAACTATCCTTAAAATCAGGGTAAACACTCAGTAAAAAAAAAAAAAGGACTCCTTAAAAAAATTTTTTTTTTTATTAATTTAAGGATTAGAATAAAATAGAATGTAACTAGAGCAGGAAAAGATTAGGACAAAGAGAGAAACACTGATGATTTATAATGAGTACTGGTACCAGACAGCGGAGTAGGGTTGGGATGGCACTGGATAAGCAGTTCATAAAATTGTCTTGGGCTACAGGTCATATACAATACAACACAATATCTTTTTATGGGAGGGATTTACTTACATGTCTGCTTAAACCTTCGCTACATGCCTTGCTATACAAAAGGTCTTTATGAGAGATACAGTGCTGTTTCATATATGGTGTTCAACAGTATCCAGGCACTAGTCCACAGTCGGGAGTTTTATAATTGATCGGAACATATTTCCCCCAAATAAAACTAATTTTTCCAGTTTTTTGAACAATAAAGGCAAACACCCACTGAGCTACCTGACAAAGCCTTCAGAGCAGTCTGTCCCTGAAAATGAGAAGCAGGTCACAGAATGATGCTTACTCCCATTAGCTAAGATGAAACTAAGCTAACAAGTTTTGTCTGAAACCACATTTTGTTTTCCTGCATTGAGCAAATGCATTACTACTCATTCATTAGATATGTCCCTCTCATTGAAAATGCAGGTGCAGGTGCCACACAATGCACAACGCAAACCAATTTCTGAACAGTATGTCAGTGAGCTTGTAGACATGATGCCATTCTGGTCTAAGGACACAAGGCCCAGTTTACCCCTCTGTATTCACAATTTGACTTTGAAAAGTGGTAAGAGGGAGGGAGAGCATGGCATTGCAGTTTTAATATATTTCTGGTCACTAGTGAACCCTCTCTCCCCAAGAGCATCTCTGCAGACCCTCCCTCTGGCAAACACCCCCACATTACTCACACATCCACAGACTGAGCACAGTCCAGTTGGAGGGCTGCTGTCCTCAACCAAGCACTCGAAGAGACTTTGACAGAGCCACATAAGAGCTGAGTGAATATGAGAGATTGAAATTCATGTAGTAGTCTTGCATTATTTTACATGTTCAGGTCACCAAAGAGATCACTGCTCCAGTGCAGCATGTGGTAAAACCTTGTCATTATCTGCTTAGGAAGCAATACTGCCCATACACAATGTTGTTCCACATCTACTCATATTTACACATTTGTATGGCATATAAAAATGACCTGATCCAAATATAAATATTTCTATGCAACTCTATTGTAAGAGAAAATGCATTAAGTTTCTAAAATGATCTTAGTTATATAATCACAGCAAACTCTAGTGCACATCATGAAGAAAATGTGTATTTGAAGAATTTCATACATAATTACATGACGTATGATTAAAACAGATGATATTAAAATACACTAAAAATGTTAATAATGTATATTTTAGAATTAAAAAAAAAATAAATCATTATTAATGATCCAAAACAGGACCAGGGAACTTACACTTCTATAAATTATACTATTTTATCTAGATTCAAGATATCATAGGAAGAATAACAAAACATTTTAAGGATGTAAGGCTATAATGCTTGAATATGACCTCTCAAACTCCTTCACAGCACTTGATTTAGGTAAAAATGCCTTCCTTTTTCAAACCTCAGATATAAATGGAACAAGGGAAATGAGATATCTTCTTGCTTAACAGTTGTAGCTGTATATAAGTTACTGTGCTGAAGATGTTTCTACTGTCATTATACATTCATTTGAGCAAGATAGAGTAGTTAATTGCATAAGCTCCAGCTTATGACAGCTCAAAGAAAAGGTTAGTCTTCATCAGTAAATTGCACCAGTAAATTTTACTTTGCTCCAGAAATAAAGAGGGGTATTTGCATCGCTGGATATGTCATTGCAGTTCAGGGCCAGTAATCAGTGTTTTGTGGGGTAATTTCTAAAACAGGTTATGCCTGGTCCACACAAAACCTGACTTGGCTCCATTTTCATTTTGATTGTTGCAATTATATTTTTAAGTTGAAGACAGTAACATGGATGGCCCTTTCTCGCTACAACAAACTCACTATCTTTTCTTGGTACCAGGGAGCTATGAAGATCTATCTGCTATTGTAAAAAATTTAATTTTTAAAGGCAAATTAATAGTATCATTTATAAAGTAAGTTATAATAAGCATCCATATCTGGAGACCTCTGAGTCCAGGATTTTAGAAAAATGAAGTCAAGAGTCTGCAGCGGTTAAAGCATAACCTTTGTTTCACAAAGGACCAATATTTCTCCATTTGCTCCTATCTCCAAGAGTTATAATTTCTTGAACTGTTGGTAATTACTTTATTGCCCGCTTCCAGAGATATCAGTCAAGAATCATTCATATTGTGAGGGAGTTTTCAGAGGGGGGAGTTGTTTTACTGTCAACATTTCTGGTTTTTTTTTTTTTAAATAGTTATCTTCAACAAGGATCTTCAACAGTAAATGCACAGTGCACACACTCAAGTTGTACTGGCTTGAGAAATCATAGAGTTAAAGAGTTACCAAGCTCCCAGCACTGGCATTTTTTCTCCTCAGAACAGGCAAAATTATTACGAATATTAGGAGCTGTGCAGTGTCTGATCTTCCTATCTAAATCAAAACCTTTATTCCTCTAACTTCAAGGATTATGAACAACTTGATGAAGGCATTTGATTACAGACTTGAGACAAACCTTATAGGGAAAACCTGCCTCTACAGTTTTTGATCACTTTGACTTAATCAAGCCACAGAGAATGTTCTTGTCGGAGATGAGCATGGTCTTTGCAGACACAGTGCATCATAAGAAACAAAAGCAGAGTTACCAAATGGAAACTGTCTAGACAGTCAGCAGAAACTTGAGCATAAGCAAGAGGCATCAGCATGCCTCTGAGCCACAGCAGGAGAGGGGTTTGCTCTTTCCCCAGAGACACTCTTCTCTTGAGCAGAGCTCCCACCTGTGAACAAAATGTATAATCATAGCTTTCTAAATGCTCTTGTCAGGTCTTATCTACTGCCTGAGCTCAGGCATCATGTGTGAGGGACTATATCCCCATTTTGAGGACACAGACACAGCATTTAACTACCCACACCACGGAGCTTAGCTGTTGCTTGTAGCAGTATGCACAGATTAAAAGTGAGGGAAGCAAAGGGCTCTCGTTTCACATCCCACTTTCACTCTTGTTTGGAATAAAGGGATGATAGCATAATGATTCCTGAATGTCTTAAAGAAGGAAATGTAACAGTGTCCTAAATTTCCTAATAACTCAAGCATCAGATGACTTCAATTCTAATCATGATTTTTGTTTTATAACCAAACCTGTAACTT